GTGGTGGCCATGAATTAAGAATTCGTCCCCGTCGGCGGGCCCCCAATCAGCCCGGGCCCATATGCTCATGCATACCCTGCATACCCAGACGCTACGCCCCTGCCGTAGGGGTAATAATATTTTTCATTCATCATACTGTTAAACAAAAATGCATGATTTTTTTCTTAGATATTTGTTTTTGGTGTCTGTATGAAATTTATTGATTGAGATCAGGATGTCAAATATATTTGACAAAGTTTGTTATTAGCATTTAAGCTTCAGTGTTTCAGCTTTGATCAGACGGATAATATTCTGCATTTAAATTGTGCTGTTATGAGTTTAGTGAATGTCTCCGACATTCAAATTAGTCTGCATCCTTAACCCATCAGATTACAGAACTTATCAGGGGCGTTTAATTGTTTGTTGAACTCTGGGATATAAAAGGTGGAGAAAACATTAGATTTAGATTAGTGTTTTACATTTTTATGAATGTAACATAAATGGTGCATCATGCCTGTGTAAAAGTCACCGCCTTATTGCTAAAGTGTTCTCAATGATTTTTAGTGTGTTACTGTACGGTTGTTGTAGTATTCTGAGTGGTTGCTAGGGTGTTGCTAGGTGGCCAGGGTTTTTTTCCCCAATAAACTATAGTATGTAGTTTCACAAATTTCACAACTTCTTTAGGCACACTGTTCAGCTATGAATTTATTATGAAATAGTTGAATCACTAATATGTTTACCATCTCACAAATAAATATTGAGTTTCAAAAAGTGCCCAGCAGTCTCGGAAAGTGATCCTCCATTTAGCAGATGTGCTGCTGATGCTGCTGCTGATGTAACTGTACCGAGAAACTTTAGGGCTTTTTTTTCTGGCAGAAATGCTTTTTCTGTTCAGCAAAGCCACTGGCATCCTCTCTGGCTGTGAATGCTTTTAGGAGCAGCAGTTAGCAAGCATACAAATTTAAACCTTTCCTAGTGCCAGAATCTCTAATGCGGCATAAAACTACTGCAGAGGGGAGCCAAATTAAATTTAATTCTATGGGCCTTTTTCGGCAAATTCATCCACAATGTCCTTGGTGTTTAATTTAAGGCTTCGTGTATTCTCAATGGAAAGAATGGCTTTCGATAGTCTTTTGATAAAAGAATTAAAATGAAAGAAAGATAATTAAAACGGTGCAGGTGTTGCTGAAGCTATGTGATACAGTTGTGATACAGTATTTGCAACTAGCTAGCTACCAACCTCACTCAGGTTTTTTAATTTTTTAATTAGGCCTATTAATTTTTATTTTATTTGGCCGTGGCAATGCAGCGTTTGCATGTAGTTTTAACAAATGACGCAGTATACGGCAGCAGTATAATTGCCAGAATCTCTAATGCGGCATAAAACTACTGCAGAGGGGAGCCAGAATCCTCTAATTGCTCATGTTTCACTACAAATGTGACAAGAGTAAAGCAATTAGCCTGTGATTTCTGAAAAGTCTGGTTAGTGAAGGAGGTTCTGTGAGATCTGCTGATGGAGCAACGAGAGGAAGGACCAAACAGCTGCGAGAATATCTCAGTGATTTTAATGAGATTTTAATGAGATTTTATTTGTCCATTAGCTTTCTATTGATTTGAGGGTGAGCATGTTAAGACTGATGTTTTAATAGGGTCTCTGAATTAAACTTTAGTGTGACTTTGAATTAAAATGTTTGACCCTGAGTTTGATTCATTCATGTGAATCATTTCAAAATGGCAATTTTAAAACAAACTGCATTGAAACAATCTCTATAAAAATAAAGGTGACTTGACTTGCAATTAATGCAATTGTTTGCAACATCATTCAAAAATATAACATTTTTTATACTGTATATTAAAATTAGTGCTGCAACTATTTTGTACAGTAACAGTAAGATTATTTAGTTTTGAAAGAAATGTATACTTTTAACCTTCAAGGACACATTAAATAATTATTTATGATGCTACAAAAGCATGCCATTTCAAATAAATGCTGTTCTTTTGAAACTTTTTAATCATCAAAGAATCCTGAAAAAATCTAGCATGGTTTCCGCGAAAATATGATGCAGCATTGATAATAATAAGAAATGTTTCCTGAGCAGCAAATCAGCATATTAGAATGATTTCTGAAAGATCATGTGACACTGAAGACTGGAGTAATGATGCTGAAAATTCAACTTTGCATCACTTACATAAATTACATTTTAAAATATATTCAAATAGAAAACAGTTCTTTTAAATTGTAATTATAATTCAAAATATTGCTATTTTTACAGTAGTTTTAATCAAATAAATAGAGTATTGGTGAGCAGAAGAGACTTCTTTCTAAAACCTTCTTGTCTACATAATACATCAAACTATTATATTTAAAAAAAGCAATATGATAGAGACAGACGGAGTGATGGAAACACCTGTTTTAGCACTAGTCTAATAAGACCGAGATCTAGTGATGTTTATGATGACACCTGCTGTTTTTATTCCCTGTCTTTCCCCCCTCATCTCTCTGTGTTAATTGTCTCTGAGAAGCATGTTACGCTAGATGACAGTAATTGTGTTGTGTACACTAACAGACATGCAATCAATACCCTCATTATAATCTACACCGCAAATAGGAGGGGTGGCCTCGTGTGTTGTTTTCCTAGTTTTCATCATTAGATGATGTCGGTCCTGAGAGATGAGGAACGGCTGAGGGAATTATGTTTCGGTTTTCCAGGAGGGTGAGGGAAAGGTTTGGGGTTGTGTTTTTCTCTGCGTGAGACTACAAAGATTTTGTAAATTTGTGGTTCTGTTCCCAGAATAGCTAATGAGGTATCTGGCCTATTTTAGTGTCTCTGGTCATTTACATTCAGATTCACATTTTTTTATAACAAGACTGTGTAAATATGAGACCTTATGAGCCGAGAAATCTTTTAAGTACACCGAAAACAACGGGCTTTTCGTGTCAAAAATGTCAGGGTTTTTTCCCCCATAAAGCTATATTTCTTGTGTGCTCTGCCTTCTTTTATATCAGCTGTCAAAACTGTAGAAATATCAAATTGTATTGTTTACAAGACCTAAATGGTGCAGTCGAAATGCTATAGAGGCTATATTCTGCTTGTTTCTTCCCTGAAGTGAATTTCTAGTGGTTTAAAGAAATAGTTAACCAAAAAATGAAAATATGCTGAAAATGTACTCACCCTCAGCCCATGCAAGAAGTAGGTAAGTTTGTTTCCTCATAGGAACAGATTTTGAGAAATTTAGCATTGCATCATTTGCTCGCAAATGGATCCTCTGCAGTGAATGGGTGCCGTCAGAATGAGAGTCCAAACAGCTGATAAAAACATCACAATAATCCACAAGTAATCCACACCACTCCAGTCCACCAATTAACAACTTGTGAAGCAATATGTGTGTTTGTAAGAAACAAATCCATCATTAAGACTTTTTTTGGGGTTAACTTTAAACCGCCACTTCTGGCCAAAATACCAGTCCGTTGTCCATAATAACATTGCTTCCTCCAGTGAAAAATTCCATCTCCTGTTGTCCTCTCACATCAAAATCCACCAACATATTTGTTTAGGACTGTTTTGGACTGTTTACACTTGTGAACGGTTCTTGTTCTGTGCATATTTCTCTCCTGATTCAGTTGGAGAAAGCCATATTATGTATAGAGGACTTACATTTTTTGGTGAACTTTTCTTTTAAGGCCTCTTTGGACAGTAAAGATATTGTATGGCTTCTTAAACGGCAATATTTGTGTTGTCTCATATGTCCGTCATCAGGCTCTGACCACCGGCAGCATCCCGGGCTTCATAGACGTGGTGATGAACCTGAACTCTCCAGCTCTGCTGGAGGACAATCTCATCTGGCAGGCCAAGAGTGCTGGCAAACGGATCATCTTCTATGGCGACGACACCTGGGTTCGACTCTTCCCCAAACACTTCATGGAGCATGATGGCACTACCTCATTTTTTGTGTCCGACTACACAGAGGTGAGAAGATCTAATCTCGAAGTTGTTTGACTCTTAACTGTTTGTTCTGTAAATCTTTCTGGGTGAAATCCAGTAATGTCAATAGGAATCAACGAGATCGGGAAAATCATGTAAGGGTGAAAGATTTCCCACACAGATTTCGTAAGAGGAAGTGAGGAGAAAGTTTTGAGTTCTTAACCCTATAAAGCCTGACATTTGAAATAATAGAAATGTTTTCTTTTTTAAATTGTAAAGTTTATTGAACCTTTAGACAAAAATCTAAAAGTTTGCATATGGTTTTTTTTTTTTTTTTAGTATCAGAGTTGAGGCGTCAGCCTTTTATGGCTCATATAGTATGATATTTGAGAAAATGGAGCTCATATGAGGAAAAGACACCTCGATTTTATTCCTAATTGAGAAAAAATATGCAGTTTAGTGCAGATGCTGATATTTATACAGCCAAAAAGTTTGTTTGTAAATCAATGAGATCTTTATAACAGTATAGCAGAAAATGTACATAAAATGCACATCAGTTGTCACTCTATATCTCCCAATAATATGTCTTAGTAAGATGATATTTAAATGCTTAGTTTTATGATCCAAAGCTCTGAAGTTTCTAATGCAATGCAGTGCATGACTGAGCGATGAACAAATAATCGTTCCTCAAAAAGCTGACGGATCATATTTGATACACACATTTGAACATGATTTTTCTAAAAAAATGATGTCTGGATAATCAAGTAAATCTAAGTTGCTTCAGTCCAGTAAGTGTTCATCTTGAAATATTACTAACAATATAAAAGTTATTCTTACTTTTACTTTATAAAAATCAGAAAAGATTTCAGAGCAAGGAAGGAGGATATTTTTACAGTTACATTAATAGCTCTTTTACTTGCTAAAAGTATAAACTATCAATCGGACAACAGAAGACATGTAGTAGATTGTGTGCAACAGGTTTTTCAGCAAAGTTTTGGTCATCTTGATCATTTAGAGGCCTTAGGAATTTGCATATCAAATATGCTACAGGATTAAAGTTACATTGGGTACTTAGTATAATAACATCAACATCAAGCACAGTTTGATTCCTCATGACCCCGTTAAGCTTATGTTATGTTTTTATGAAGTCTTAGAGTCTTCATTTGTCTATTTTCCTCTCACCCTCTCTCAGATTTGAATATCTCCTTCTCGTTCTGTCAGGTAGACAATAATGTGACCCGTCATCTGGACGACACTCTGAAGCGAGATGACAGGGATATTTTGATTCTGCATTATCTGGGTCTGGACCACATCGGACATATCAGCGGACCCCACAGCTCTCTGATAGGACCCAAACTCATGGAGATGGACGACATCATCAAGAAGATACATGCCTCGCTCATATCAAAGGTGTGTTTTGTTCTTCTTTAGCTTCTCTTCTACCAGATCTTTGCTCTTGACCTCTTCAACATCTCTGACCTGTCCTGAAGAACCTGTGACCCTTGATGAAGCGGTCCGGTCCCACGAATCTACTCGCCCTTCGTAATGGTGCATGTCTGAGTGTTTCTCTGAACCTTCAGGGCTTTTCTGAAACCCTTGATATTTGTCTTCCTGATCTTTCAGTTAGTGGAATCATATATCAAGTTCTTCTCCTTCACAGTTTCATCTGTAGCCAGTCTTGAAGTGTTTACACTTTTTAGTGCCGTTTGCCAAGTCAGCCATCATTACTATTGCTCATAGCGAGGGTTATTGATTTGAACAAACCCCTGACACTAAGAATTAAACTTCAGTGTGTAACTAAAGCGTTTTTGCTCCAGACATGAATGTTTCCTCAAATCGTGTGCTTTTACTCTACTCTGTGATCAGACGCACAATTTTAACTTGTTGCATGATTAAACGGGTAAAACATATCCCACAGACATGCATTGAATATCATAGGAGACCAAAATATCATAGCTTAAGGGTGGACTCTTTTTACTTGAGCCTAGCAACCACATAGAAACACCCCTAGCAACTGCACAAAATAGCCTGGATTCATGACGTCTTCTGCAGGAGCAGCAACACAATTTTTTTTCAGCCTGTCAGAGTGAGGCTCATTTTTCTTTCTGTTTTCTTCCTGAAAAGTCTCCTCTCACTGTGTTTTTACGGACTAAGCAGTTCTGCTACATTCCGACCCAAATACAGATCTATTCCCCAGCGGACTGTTTGCCTGGTTTCAACCAGGGTTGTTATAGTTATCTATAGCTATCTCTCTCTCTCTGACTTTCTATTGCTCTGTTTTTTGTGCAGATTAACAGATGATGTTTAGCTCAGTGATGTTTCACACTGGATTGTACTGTAGGAATGTGGCAAACAGTGAGGCGTTCACATTATAAATCTTAAAGTTGCCATGGAAACATTTATATGAGTGCTTAACAACTTTCCAGACACAACAGTTACTCTCATTTCCGTCATGATAGTTCAATAATTAGGCCTAAAACATCACTGTGACAACGGTGAATATTAAAATGCTTAATTTTGTCGAAGACGACTTTTCTCCTCTTCTGTATCTCTCTTCAGGAAGTTTACTTTCTGTCAGCGACTCCGCTCTGGGTAATTACGTAATTATGTAATTATGCACATTGCGCTAGTTCGCTATGTGACATTGGCCCTGACTGATTTGCTGTCTGATTTGCAGAATTAGCGCTAGGCTGTTCATGCAGCCCACAGCATCCGTTAGGCAGATCATTCTGTTGCTCTTAAAGTCGTTTTTTGACTTTGCACTGCATACAAACAAATTAAACTTGTTTTAAATGTAATTACACCGCTTTTGTGTCATATCTACTGAATGAAATTCAATGCTCGTTTCTTACTGATTTTGTGTTGCTTATTCCAAAAATAGTGCCTGTTTTGCTTGAGCATGTCACACTTTCTTACAAAATATGATGCATTTCATAGCATTTTTGCTTTCAGCAACCATTTGTAAGGTGAGGTCCTTTGCAGATTGTAAGTAAAATTACACATTTTGAATACTTGTTTTAAGGGCCTAAAATTAACACTCGGCAAGCACCAAATTTCCCTGTGCTAAGTTTCCCTGCATTTTCCCACCAAAATGAATGGATTTCAGTGAAATCGAGGAACACTACACTATCAATAATGTCTCTAACAGAAATGCACCCACTTTTTTTTTCTGTCACTGGGCCTAAACACGCCTCTTGATTGGTGACATCTGTATAACCAGCTGCGTCCTACTTTAGCACCCTGCAGGCCTGCTGCCCATTATAATATCTGCATGTGAAATCTGTTCCCTCTGCAGGTGAGAGAGTTTAACTCCCTACAGGACCAGAGGAGCACCGGAGCTCCCTGCAGTATGACACATCCAACACTCATTAATCATCACAGCCCTTTATCAGAGATCTTATAGGAGCCGTTAATGTAGGTTATTCAGAGCGTTGCCTTAAGTAACAATGAATTTTAGGACATGATAAAATGGTGCGTCAGTTAACATCTACAAGCAAGAACAAATAAGAACAACTGGAGTTATTTTAAAGGGGTCGTATCATGAAAAATCACGTTACTCGAGACAAAATAGCTCAGTGTACTATGATAACAGGTAAATAAAAACTTACAAAAAAAGAGAATTTATACAAACTTTGTAATAGTAATAGTGATGTCACCTTTTTGTTATTTTACAGTTTAAAGCACAACGTAAATAATAATTCAATTATAATAAATTATAGACTTACTGTTTAACACACACACACACACACA